CTCTCTGATTCATAGCAAGTAATTGCAAAGACCATAGCCTTTATCAGGTGCACATTAGTCTCTAGACTGACATCGTTGCTTCTCAGTACTTTGGAGAGGTCTCTGACAGCAGACTTTCCCAATGTAATCTGTCTTTTAATTCTCTGACTGCTGGTACCATGAGTGGAGCTAAGCAAACTAAAGCTGTTAACAGTTTCAATCTCTTCACCATCTATCATGATGCTGCTAATCAGCCCAAAGGTGAGAATCTTTGTTTTCTTGATGTGGGGCTTCAGTCCATATTGAAAAGGCTGTAGGCCTTGACCTTCTGCAGCTGGAGTCTCAGGTCCTCCTCAGGTTCAGCAAGCAGGGTTGAGTCATCTGCATAACACAGATTTCTGGTTGTTTTTTTTAAAAAGTAAATAAACCAAACCGACCCCCTTTCATTGTCCTTGTAGCTATCAGCATACATAGATCATCTGTCAGGACAACAAAACTAAAACCACTGAGCACGTATGAAAATCATTCAGATATGATCATATGTGTTACCTTAGAATAAGAGTGGTCTGAAGAGGAAAAAAAAGAGTGGTGTGAATGCTCTGTGGTGAGTAAATGAGCTAGTGGCCTCATCTCATCAAACACCTACTATACCCTACTGTTGAGTTCATTAAAAGCTCCAATCTGTTAGCTAAGAGGTCCTCCTAAGATTAAGACATGTAGTTTGAGACAATTTCATTGAGGACTAAAAAAAAAGTCTGAGATAGGTTTGAATCAAACTAGGTCAAGGGCTGGCTGCCCTAACCAGTCTTCAAAGCAGAGTTATTGCTTAGACTAACTTAACGTCCAGATAATGGGCTCATTGCTCAGACAAAAATACAGTTTTATCTGCTTTTGTTTCGTTTACAGTAGTCCGCTTTTAGTTTTTACCTGAAATGCTTTTAAATATGATTCTTCACTTTCACCAACATATTTGAGGAATAAATACATCCTTTTAATTCAAAGAGGATGTGGTTTATAAATGTGATATCACAGAAATGTTAAAATTGAAGGAACCTTTAAAGATAATATAGTGTACCTTCCCTAGTAATCAAGTTAAAATAGCATTGACTTGTTAATGTTGAGATATTCTCTAGGTGACCTAGATAGTTACCTAGTTAGAACCACTGTCTGGTTTTCTGGACTCGTTAAGTTAGAGGTTTTTCTACTCTACCATGTGATATGATCACATAAAATGCCAGTCGTGCTCATGAACCATTAATTTCTTCAACAATCTTGTATTCTTAGAACCTGCAAAACCTACAATTTTCCAATTTTTTGTTTTTTGTCGTTTTCAAAATGTATCTAGTTCATGTAGAAGATTTAAGAAAGACGAGCAAGGCAAAGCCCTAGTTTCTGTTTCTGGTTTCTGTCTTCTGGCCAAGTGGCTTGGAGCAAGTCACTTTTTCTTCTTAGGTATTTGTTTCTTTATTTGTAAAATAGTAATAACCCTCTGCTCTGCCTGCCTTGCAAATACCTTGCAAATGATGAGTGAGATCATGCCTGTTGTTGTTGTTAGGTGGTGTTGATTTGTAGCAAGCCTGTGAATAAAAGATCTGAACCCTGTTCTATCCTGTGCCATCCTCACACTTCCTGACACACAAGAGCCCATTGCAGTAGTCACCACATCAATTCCCCTGGCCAAGGGTCTTCCTCTCCTTCGCTATCCCTCCACCCTTTCTACCATCATGTCCCTTTCTAAGGCAGAGCCCCTTCTAGCAATGTGAAGTCCTATTTTAAATTGTAGTCCTTTTGTATTGCTCTATTTTGAAGTACTTTTTCTAGCTTAGGTGTTAACTTTCATTATAACTTAACTGCTACTGTTGATTGTGCTGTCAATAGAATGATACTGATGTTTTCTTTTCAGCAAGTGAACAATGGTCTTACACTTAGTGATCTTCCTTTGCACATGCTGAACAACATATTATACAGATTCTCAGATGGATGGGACATCATAACTTTAGGTCAAGTCACTCCAACGTTGTATATGCTCAGTGAAGACAGACAGTTGTGGAAGAAACTGTGTCAATATCATTTTGCTGAACAGCAGGTAAGTACGATGGCAGAGGTGTCTTCCTCTAGATTATACCTCCTCTAGATCCAGTAGTAAATGAATATGCTCCCTGTAGGTGCTTTCTTAAGAGCTCTACCTCAGGTCCAATTTTTAAGAATCAAGAATAATCATCACTAATTAAAATTGCTTATAGTTTTTATTCTACAGATCATAAAGGGGTATTTATGTTAATAAAAAAAAAAATCCTGGCCTAAAGCTAGCTCCTAAAACCAACCTAAAATAAAATTTAGCTTGTTAGTTACTTCTTTTTAAAGTAATAGTTTCTCAAAACCACTATTATATTATCCTTTCTTCCTATTTTAATGTGTCATATTCTAGTTCTACCTTCTGTCAAATAAGTATCTCTTAAAAAGTTACACTTATTAAAACTTAGTTTTCTGTAATCAGTTGGTAAAATACCACTCTCCACTCTGCATAGAATACTTTTTTATCTTTCTACCCTTCATAATGCCTTTAAGAATTAGTTGTGAGAAACTGCACAAGGCCTGTGTTTATATATGCTTCTCTCATCTTCTACCATCATATTTGCTTACCCATTATCTAAAGCCAAATCATATTACTGTTTTAATCACTGAAGAAATCATTCATTCACTCACTCATAATACAGATATTTAGGGGATTTTGTGCTAGGCAGAGGCAAAGACACCAAGAGAGAAATAGAACCAGAAAGATAGTGCCCTAACTCTCCTGGAGATCATGGTCCAGAGAGGTTTATGAAAATTATGTCAAGAAATAGTGTATAATTATGTAAGCCTTTCACAGATAAACATCTACACTCTTAGAGGACAGGGAAGGGCAGAAATAAAGAAAATTCCTTAAGTAAGATAATCTAGGCAATAAGCTAAGTCAAGAATGTTCTAAGCAGAGAGGACCATTTATATAGAGTCTGAAATAGGAGCATTGCATGCTTTAGTTGCAAGATACCACTCTTCAGGCAAAATGATAGAAATGAAACTAATGTTGGCCAGAGCCAAATATTACAGTTCTTAAAAAAAAAAAGAAAAGAAGCTACATTAGGCTGTTCATTTTTATCTGAAGAGCTTAGAAAATCCATTAAAATGTTTCAGTTAAATTTTTATTATTTAATAATTCTTTTATAGTCAATTGCATGTATTTTGTTGCTCTTACTGATTCATGGCAAAGATAAAACAATGCAAATGTTTATATGTACAGTGTGATTCATCACATCCTTCAAGTTGTATAACCCTCCTCACCCTTCTTTTCTCTCCTTGGACCATAAACTGACTACTCTCTGAGATTCTAATCCAGTTTTTGATGTTGCTATTGTTGTTTTGATCCCATTTAGATAGATCTTGAAAAGGGCACAGTTGTCAACATCTTACTTGCTCTTCTTTGAGGAATAGAATGAAGGAGGCCCCAAAAAAAACCGGCGAGCTCTGGTGGCCTAGTGGCAGGAATTTGCACTGCAATCCCAGAGGTGCACGGTTCAAATCCACCAGATGCTCTGCTGAAGAAGGAGGAACAATCGCCTCCTGTACCAGTCAGATCCAATTTGATGGCACGCACATTAAATAAATAAATAAAAAAGAAAAAAAAACCACAAAAAACACACCGCTAACATAATGTTTTAAGAAGGAGTGGTGTAGAGAGATGGAGAAATGGACAAATATTTAGAAGATAAAATTGATAGGATCTGATTCGTGATTGGATGCGGTGTTGAAAACGAGGAAGAACTGTCATTTCCAGGTTGTAATAGAGAGCATTTCCCTGCAATAGGAAACAGTGGATGATGGATTGCCAGGTTTGAGAATACAGTGAGTCATAGTTTTGGCCATACTAGAGTGTAATGTCTTTCAAAGATCTGTACAAAAAAATAAAGATTAACTGCTGTAGTCCCTCGGGTGTTTTACTGCTAACTGAAAGGGTAAGCATTTTTGGCTTCACTAATCCACCAGTAGCTCTGTGGGGGAAAGACAGACAAGAGAATGGATATGATGAAAATGACCATCTTGTGTGCAGCATGTTTCCTTGACTGAATTATAAAAACAATTTAAAAATATTACACCTCTTTCAGGTCTCAGTAACTAACAACTCTCATTGCCATTGAATCATAATGGTCTCATAGCTGACTCTCTATTGGGTTCTGAGGTTATAAACTACTAGATAAGAGATTGCCCATAGTTTTTCTGGAGAACTTCAGCAATTCAAATTGCTGGAAAGACTCATATTTTAGGTTAGCAGTGTACTTCCCTACAGGATAGGTCCCCCAGAGCTCCCTAGTTAACTAGAAGATTCTGATAAAAAGCAAGCATAATAGAATAACCCTATGAAAATGGCATAGGTGAGGATATACTGTTAAGTGTAAACATTGCACTGATACATAATCTAAAATAATGGAAGGGAAAGTTGAACTAATTACTGTTGTGAGTGTTGTTTGCATGAGAAACTTCATAATTGGTTATTTAGGAGCTAAGTAATGTAAGTGGCAGGAAAATTCTCCATATACCTTGTTCTTAGTTTTTACCTTTGTTGTTGTTGTTTTGTTATTGGCGCCACTGAGTCAACTACAACTCATAGCAACCCATGAACAATGGCTCTGAACCTTTCCCTGTTCTGAGTAAGTCAACCAACTTCCGTGTTTCATCAATTTCACATTGCCAAAGTTAGTAGAAATCTTCAATTTCTTCATCTTTGGCTTTACTGGTTGGTCCATATGTTTGAATAATAGTTGTATTAAGAGATTGTCCTTGTATGCATATGAATAATATCTTTCACTTGTATCATTGTACTTGAGTATGGAGCTTGAAATACTCTTCATTTTCTATCTGTCATTCCAGGTATGATAGATTATTATCATTGCCTGATTAAGAAACAGCCTATACCAGTCCATCTAATGCCTATGATGTTTATATGTTTATTTCATTTTTGACAATCCAGTTTTACTTGATTTATACTTTGCTAGATTCAGAAGCACCTAACATAGATTCCAGTATCATAGCAACATACAAGCCATCACAGTTGACAGACAAATGCCATACCTTTCAAACAAATAGGCAGACTGATAAATATTTTAAAAAAAAAAAGGCTGTAGGAAATGGAAGACAAGCTGTCTGGCCTGAGACGGTGTATCTGCCAGCCCAGCTGACAACTGGAATTGGGGCGCCCAGTCATGTCAGAATTTCTGCTTGGCAGAGTGGTCATCGAGGCCACTGGATGTTAACTAGGTCATGAGTGGCACCTCTTGCAGTCTACAGGTAGTGCACTCATCCTAGTGCATAGTTTCTTCTGGCCTCAGAAGAGCTTGGGTTAATCTGATTGGTTAGAAATACTGTCTTTGCCAGTGTAGGAATGAGTGCTGCCAAGGTACTCACCCAGTCAGTAATGGCTAATATAAAGAAATAATCACTGTTGACCTGAAGTGTCCAAGCATGACACACTCAATTCTGCAAAGTTTGCACTGCTCCAAATGTCATGGAGAGTGCCAGGTTGTGCCCCCACTAATCTAGAGGCATACTTAGGCCAGGTGTGGGCCAGTCTTCAGACTCCCTGAAGAAGGCTCTGAGATTCCAGTCAACATGGGCATGGAGCAGAGTGCAAAGGCTGGCATAGGACAAAAAGAGAAGTAAAAGTAAGGTTCAAATAGTTGTTCTTACTCATTAGGAATTACTTTTTTAACAGTTTATAAAGACACAGAAAGTAATATAGGTAGCTTATAAGAACTTTTCTTTATTTCTCAAAATAACTATTTAAATTTTTATTTGCATCAGTTTCCACATTAATACTATCATAGTTTCAAAACAAAGTTCTCAAAGCTGTAATTGAAGTATGGCTATTTTATCCAAATGTTTTTTCTCAGTTTTAAAATGTAAAAAGAGCTGCTTGGGTGTTCTATTATATAGGCTTTCCATAATTTATTTGACTAGTCTCATATTGTTTCAATGCAAAGTAAATGGTTTAATTTCAAGTAATTGAATATTTCATGCACTACATTTAAAACAAATTTTTTGCCTAATTTTATGCTTGGAAATTATCTTCTGCTGAGTCTAAACAGAATTTTTTTTGTGTGTGTATGTCTTGTTTTTTAGTTTTGTAGACATTTGATCCTTTCTGAAAAAGGTCATGTCGAATGGAAATTGATGTATTTTGCACTTCAGAAATACTACCCAACAAAAGAGCAATATGGAGACACATTACATTTTTGTCGACACTGCAGCATTCTTTTTTGGAAGGTAATAATTTCAGATATATTCTCGGAATTTGAGATGTAGTTTTTGTAAAATGTATTGATCACCTGTATTTTGCGCGTAAAAGTACAATAAAATAGAAGATACTTTGTATGATAAGAAGGTTAGTGACAAATATTCCAGATATTAATGCCAGGAACAGGTGTTTATAAAAGTAAAATGCATAACTTGTGGTTTTGATCAGCAGTGTTGAAAATAGAATTGTCTTTTCTTCTCTTAGATAACTGTTTTTCACCTTTATAGACGATAGTATAGGCATATTCTACAAAGCAAGTGAGGTGAGTGAGGAGCCTGCTTTCTGTTTCTTCTCTGATTTTCAAGTCCAGAGGAATTAGGTTCCTCAGATTAATGACTTTTACTCACAGCAGGCTCTGGAATGTCTCTGCCAATCCTCTATGTAACAATCAAGGGATTTAAGATTTTACTAACCCTGTTTAATAAACCTAAGGAAGAATTCTCCACACTTACGTCCCTGAAAAGGAGGCCTTGGGATATCATGGTTAACTTCTTGGCTGATAACAGAAATGTTGGCACCAGAGAAAGGACCTGTGAATGGCACCATAAAGATTACAGCAGAAGACACCCTGTGGGCAATACTACTCCATCACACGGGGTTGCTGAGAAAGGGAAATCTGGATTAAAATAATTCCTCCAGACACAACCCTCTGCCTAAGATTCTGATTATTAAATTCTCAATTCCTTTAGTGGCTTTCAGAGATAATTTCCCACTATTGTCTTTAAGTGGCAGTTTACTAGCCCTCAGAGCTGCTCTTCTCAGAGTCAAATTTTAACAAGGACATTTATAAAAATGTTTATTCATCAATATTAAGTTCTTCAGTCACAAACAAGCATGTGGATTTCTTATGAGTTTGGTCAAAACCAGATTATCGTTACTTATCTGCATTAGAGATCTAATCTTTTGGAGGAAAAAAATTGAATCCAGAAGTTTCAGTATTTAAAGAGTAACTTTAGACCCATGCTGCTACTGTTTAGCATTTGCTTTGCTTTGTTGTTTTTTAGTTTAGTTTTGCTTTATTTTTAATTATTCATATCTCTCTGGTGAAAATGTTATTTCCATAGTCAGAGGTACATTTTTACATATTATTTCGTTCACACAGTTTTACTTTCTTAACATGTAAATATTGTTTTACCTTGAGTATATTCCCATCGTGTGCTTTGAGTATGAATACTTTTTTGTATTTAACTTTTTATTATTAATTTTAATGAACTTAAAGAATGGATTTCCATTCATTCATTATTGCACTTTTCTCCCTGCCTACCCCCTCCCCCACCCCGTTCGTTCTTATCTTTGAAAAGTAAAAGAAAACTTATTTCATTGTTATGCAATCCGTCCCTCCAAGTCCTCTCCACTATGCAGCCTTCGTTCTGAACTCCTGTCATGACACTAATACCTAATCACATATCCCTTTTAAACAATTCTCTTTCTCATCTGTTTCAATGCAGTATACATAATTTATCCCATCTTTCTCAGTCTCCCCCTAATCCCGATGTCAGTCCTGTTTTACAACAGAGGCACTATGTAGTATTTTTCCTTTTATGACTGAGATATTTCACTTAGCATAATGTCCTCCAGGGTCACCCATTTTTAATAACATTGCATGAGTTCCTTGATTTTCAGTGCAGCGTAGTAGTCCATTGTGTGAATATACCACAGCTTCTCTATCCATTAGTTTGTGCCTGTATCTGCTTGGGTGGCACTTATGTTTTCTTTAGTGTATTCCAAGTAGTGGAATTGCTGGGTCAAATGGTATTATAGCTATTTGCAACTTTTTGAAAAAGCATCATACAGCTTTCCATAATGGTCGCACCATTTTACACTCCCACCCACAGTGAATAAGGGTTCCAGTTTCAAGTTTAAATATTTTTAACATTAGATTTTACTGAAAAAATAAAAAGAAGCTCATCTATGAAATCCTGGACCCTACAGTTACTCTTGTCTCATGCACATTCCTCTTCTGAGCCTTTCACAGACTTGTTCTCTAAGGAGAAGCAGCATCGGCCAGGCTCAGCACCTCTTAACTTAAATATACATGTTTCTGCTTCTCTCCTTATGTGATAGAGAAGAGAAAAATGTCTCTTCTTGGTAAACATTATCAAATTTTTTTTATGCTTTTGCTCTATATGTTGTTGTTATGTGCCATCGAGTCGCTTGTGACTCATAGTGACCCTATGTACAACAGCCCTAAACTCCTCTGTCCTGTGCCAGTCGCACTGTCTCTGACACTCCCATCCCGATTTATCCCAGTCACTGAATCAATCCACCTCATAGAGGGCCTTCCCCTCCTGCGCTGTCCCTCCTCCCTCCCAAGCATGATGTCCCTCTCTAAGGACCAGGTCTCTCCTCACAACATGTCCAAGGTATGTTAGATGGAGCCTCAGAATCCTTGCCCCATGTAATTATCTATAATTTGTTGTCAGATGGATCACAGCAATAGCAACCTCTAGATTATTATAAAAGGGACAAGTATTTTGAATTTTTATTTTAAATTACATTTTTGAAAGTTGTTACATGCCTTTTTAGTTAAGGAACCCTAGTAATAGAGTATGTCCTGTTTCATGCTGCTAACTGAAAAGTCAGCAGTTTGAATACATCAACTACTAAGAAGGAGAAAGATGGGAGGAATGATGTATATTGCATTGCAATAGATGAGGGAGAGAACTGTTTAAAAGGGATATATGATTAGGTATTATTGTCATGACAGTTGTCCAGAATGAAGGCTACACAATGCAGTGGACTTAGTGGGAGGTATTGCAGAGCAATGAAAGACTTTTACTTTTCAAGGAGAAAAGTGAATGGGGAGTGGCAGGGAGAAAAGTGTAACAATGAATAACTGGAAACCCTAAGTCTCTTTCATGAAATTTAATTTAAAAAAAGAAAAGAAAGATGGTCAGGTTTCTCCCAAAATGACTTAAGGACTTGGAAACCCAATTGAGGGTAGCTATGAATTGGACATCAACAATGACATCATTGCTGATCTCAGGTAGATCTTGGCTGAAAGTAGAGAATATTTACTAGTTGTTGTCATTAAGTGAGCTGGAGTCGAGTATAAGTCATAGTGACTCTGAACAGCCGATCAGAGCTCTGCCCTATCCCGTGTCTTCTGTATCATCCATGAGACAGTAGAACTTATCACTGAACTCATGGTATGAGTTCATCTCATTGGAAGTCTTGCTTTCCTTCACTGACCCTACGAGGAATAGCCTGACCTCACTACATGTCCGAAGTATGAAACATATGAAAGACAGAGTGTCTAAGGAGCACTCTGGCAGAACTTTTTTCAAGATATGCATGTTTGTTCTTTTGGTAGTCATGGGATATTCTGTACTCTTCTTTGACACGACAACACAAAGGCATCTATTATTCTGTCATCCTTATTTATTGTCCAGCTCTCTGATGCACCAGATGATTGAAAAGACCAGGGCCTGAATCAGGCACCTCTTAGTCTTCTACCTGACATCATTGCTCTTCAGCATTTTAGAGAGGTCTCTGACTTGCCCAATACATTGTGTCTCCTGATTTCCTAATTGCTGGTTCTGAGGGTGTTGATTGTTAATCCAAGCAAGATAAACTCCTTGACAGCTCTACTTGTGGCTTAGTGATTATGCAAGTACATTGGACTGTGTGGATCATAGCAAATTATGGCTAACATTGAGAAGAATGAGAGTCCCAAAACATTGATTGTGCTTACAGGAAACCTATACCTAGACAAAGAAGATGTTGTACAGAGAGAGCAAAGGAACACTGCATGCTTTAAAATGAAGAAATGTGTTTAAATTGTATCCTTTCTCCATACCTGTTCAAATTGTTGTTATTGTGTTTGTTGTTATTATATGCTATTGAGTTGTCTGCAACCCATAATGACCCCATGTACAACAACTCTAAGATCCTGCTCTATCCTATGCCAATCTTATTGTCTCTGACACATCCATCTCCATTACCCCAGTCACTGAATCAGTCCATCTCATCGAGGGTCTTCCTCTCTTGTGCTGTCCCTTCATCCTCCCAAACATGACATCCCTCTCCAAGGACTGGTTATGCCTTGCAGCATGTCCAAAGAATGTCGTCCAAGGAGCATCCTAGTTTAACCCTCTCCAGGTTGAACCTGTTCATTCTCTTAGCATTCCATGGTATATTCAGTACTCTTTGCCAAAACCAAAGCTCAAAGTCATCAATTCTCCTTCTGTTATCCCTAGTAGTTTTCTGGGTCTCTGATACATAGCAAGTATTTGCAAAGACTATGGCCTGTATGAGGCACACCTTTGTCTCCAGCCTGATATCATTGCTCTTCAGTACTTTGGAGTGGTCTCTGACAGCAGACTTTCCCAATACAACACATCTGTTAATCTCCTGGCTGTTGGTTCCAAGAGTGTTGATTGTGGAGCTAAGCAAACTAAAGCTGTTTACAATCTCAGTCTCTTCACCATCTATCACGATGCTGCCAATTTTTTTTCTTCATATTGTGCTTCAATCCATACTGAAGGCTGCAGTCCTGACCTTCTGCAGCAAGTACTTCACGTCTTCCTCAGTTTCAGCAAGCAAGGTTGTGTCATCTGCATAACACAGTTTGTTAAAGAGTCTTCTTCTAATCCTGATGCCACATTTCTCCTCGTAGAGCCCAGCCTCCTAGATAATCTGTTCTGCATATAGATTGAAAATGTATGGAGATAGGACATATCCCTGGCATACACCTTTCCCAGTTTTGAACAAGGCAGTGTTCCCTTGCTCTGTTCTGATGACTTCCTCTTGGTCCAAGTATAGGTTTCCCATAAGTACGCTGAAGTGTTCTGGGATTCCCATTCTTCTCAGAGTCAGCCACGGTTTGTTGTTATCCACATAATCAAATACCCTTGCATAATCAATAGAACGCAGATAGACATTTCTCTGGTATTCACTGCTTTCAGCCAAGATTTATCTGCAATATCCCTAGTACCACAGCCTCTTCTAAACCCAGCCTGCACTTCAA